CGATAGAAAAGGGAGAAACAATAGGAACAAAAAACAAAACAAAAAAGAAACACCGAAGTTGACTATCAAGTCTTAGTGTACAAGCTGAAAGAAACAGTTTAGGAACCCGAGATGAATAGTTCTCGATGAAGTAACTAACTGTTTAGGAAGCTGCTGTTTCAGCAGAGACAATAAAACAGACCTGCTTTACTTCTCTTTTCCCTTCCTGCTTTGCATAAAATAAATAACCTGATAAAATAATGTCACTATTATTATGATTTGGAATAGTTTTCAGAACCTCAAGTCAGAAATGGTTTGAGTGAAAGAGTCCCTGGAGGTAATTTAACCCAATTTTCCTTTTTTAAAAAAATTTAATGGTTAAGTAGCACAGATTACTTTGAAAAATCCTCAGTGCTGTTGCAAGGCAATCTATTCTGTTCCCACGTAGGGAGAACAATCAGTTCTGCCTTATAGGATCAATAAAGGGGGATGTTGAATGCCTGAAATTGAGGCCAGCTCCTAAATTTAGCTTAACTTCATTTTACGAATAGATTGATAATTTTCTTTTGCATTAATGCATGAGAGAACTCAGGGGAGGGCAACGAAAATGATATAAGGACTTGAGCATGTGACCTGGGAGGAAATTGAGGTGTTTGGTCTGGAGAGAAAAAAGACATGATAGTTGTATTCAGGTACATAAAGGGAAGCTACGGGGAAGATAGGAACTGTTTTGCACTAGAATCAGAAATAACATGAATAAGTTGCAGCTATTCATATTGTCAGACTAAGTGGTGACTCCAAACTCTGTGATTCTGATAATGTTTTCTCTCTGCACACTTGTCCCCCCACCCAACAGTCCACCCAGTCGGATAACTTGATCCAGGGATGATGGCAGGCGTTCAGCGCTGGCCTTCCTTCTCTTTTTGATCCGCTCTGCATTTTGTTTCTCTCTCTCTCTGCATGCTCTTTGAACACTTTGTCAGTGTTGGTGCGTCCCTTGTGCTTCCAGAAATTCCAGCTTCTTCTTTTTCCAGCCAATCCAGGGCAGGGATTTGTGAACATTAAAGCATCATGGTTTTTTCCTCCCCCCCTGGCTTTTTTTTTTCTTTTTAAAAAATCTTCACACTTCCCTTCCTAAAGGTCTGTTAAACGGGTGTGCCGTTTGCACGTGCATAAAAGCATCCATGAGGCCTCCACATCTCACACCCCCATTTCCCAGCAATCTGCCAGTGATTTGTCCACCAGCCCGTCCAGCCAGTCTTCCTGCCCTACAACTGCCAAGGTTCACAGGACACCCCTCCCTCTTCTTCAAATCCACACTGATCTTCCCACCTGCTAGATCTTCATTGGAAAGCTACACAATGATTTCCCTAAAAGTTTCCCCATCCTTGTGCTCTGCCTTTGGGATTTCTTTAGCCCCCCCACCCCCGGTGGGCCTGCATCCCATCCCCCCATATAGGAATTCCAGGCCTAGAGTTATTTCTTATCACTTCTCCATCCTCGGTCTTTGTTTCTTCTGTATTGGTTTTGCCTCCCCGTTTCTGAGTCAAAAATCACCCACTTTGGAACTTTTGCACCCACTTTGGAACTTTTGCACCCACCATGTTTCTTTTGCCATCCAGCTTGAGTGTTTTACTTTCATTTTTCACTTCTGTGCATGGGACGTGTGCTTTGCGTTCTAGGATTCAGTGCATTTATACCGTTTATAATACAAGTTAATATACTGGGTCATTCATTGTATTCAGTGAATGGGAATAGGTATGGGAATTGTTACATACAATTACTGTTTTGGAGCTGGAGAACTTCGGTGTAACAATCCCATGGTTACATTAGACATTGCAATGATACACTGCCCCGGTGCGTAAATATTTCCTTTTGTATTCTTGTTTCAAACATTTGGTATGCGATGAAGTGTTTGCAACTTTATGTCACTTGCTCAAGGTTTCTCAGAAGACATCCTTTTCTAGCCATGGAGTAGAAGTCTTTCCCAGAGTCTATACCAGTGTTTCTCAACCGTGGCGACGTTAAGATGTGTGGACTTCAACTCCCAGCATTCCCCCCCAGCATGGCTGGCTGGGGAATG